GTTTCCGGCGAAACAACTCGATGGATGAATAAAAGTTGGGCTCAAGTACCACCCAGTACAGGTTGGTTGTGTTTTATTCCTACCACCTTTTTCCTTAGGCGTGGCTTCTCCTCCCACAAGGACACGGCCCCGCACCGCCCGGGCCTCAAGCCGGAGCCTGGCATTGCAAGCACGTGTGTGCTGTGTGTGTGTGTGTGTGTGTGTGCTTTTTCTTGGAGCGTATTCTTTCTAAGCCTGGTTTTAGGATGTCTGTGTGTGTGTGCTTGCGGTGCCCTTTGGTAGAGAGGTACGGGTTCCCATTAAGGCCCTTTGCCTCAGCCGCTGTTTAAACCAAGGCATCAATGGAGGAACTCACGAAACTACCGTGTTTTTTTTTTGAGGGGGGAAGATTCGTTTTTGGACCTTGGCTCCTCTGGCCGAGAACCTTCCGAGCTTTCTTCCTGCCCAGCCTGCCCAGGGCTGGCGCTGTCGGCGACCCAGGATAAGACGCGGCCGGGACCTGAGGTGCAAGGAGGGGGAGGAGAGGGAAGGGAGCTCTCCAATCTAATGGGAGTCCCGGACTAATACGCAAGTCCTAATCGATGTCACTCACAAAAGTGATCCGGAGTCCCAGTATCCCCCCCCCCCGAACAATGGTTTAAGAACTTGTGTTTAACCTGAATACAAGGGCTTAGGCTTATTGTGGAGTACTAGAGTACTATTGGGCCAAGTTACCTCATGATCATTGGAGGATGTTTGTTATTATTCAGCCCCTGAGTGTACCGTAATATATCACGGTGTTGTACTTGCACTATCTAAAATTTAGGGCATCCGCACGCTTGTCACTCTTTCGGGGTGTTGGTTTAGGGGGTGGGCAATCCCCTTTCAGACAGATTTGGATATTGGTGGAATTAAGCGTCGCTTTTCAAGTGAATATGCAAGGGATGCAGGGGGGGGGGGGGGAAAACAGAACCTTGAAGGTTTCACAAAATCCTAAGATGCATCAAAAACCCATGGTACATGTCGAAAGCTTTGAAACAGCTTGTGAAGGTGGTGTTGAATTTTGCGAAGATGGAGATAAGACGGTGGGGTCCCTATGTTTCCCCTGTTTGGTGATTCCCCACCTTGGCCAAGTTAAATTGAGTCGAGCCACCGAGGCTGGTGAAGGCGCGGACCGGCTTCGGCGCCACTGCCGCTTGGCGCGAAGTGGAAGGTGCCGATGGACAAAGGCACCACCTGAGAAACCCTGAAATGATTCGATTCCCCTGCAAATACCAAGGGCTCACTTCCTGAGTACAGTTTGGACTTTTTTTGGGCCATCCACTCAGCCGGTGAGAGGAATAGCGTTTTTTTTAAAAAAATAAAAAAAAAAAATGGCGTAGGATTTCGTCCATCCACAGTAGGTTTGCCTCGAAGACCTGAAGAGGGTAGATTCATTGTGTGGTTATTTAAGGGTGTACACCTTTTCACATTGGTTTAAAGGGGTTTTCGGAAAAGAACCCTCGCCATTTTTGTGGTCCCCTATTTCGCGCATGCCCACTTGGCCGGATTTGTCTATCCCCTAAGTGTTGGGCGTGGTCTTCGGGGGGGCTTGATGAAAACAGCAAAGGCTCCTGAAACCCTGGGACAAACATACCCCAACAAACAGATCTCAGCTGTTGGGAATTCTTTGTGGGGGCTGTTGTAATTAGGGCCCGGCAAATCCAGGCAAAACCTGCGCGGTGCCCAGGAACCCTCCCTTTTCAAGAGAAACATCGCCTTTCCAGAGGGGTTTGTGCACTTCCATGTTTTTTTTGTTTTTTGTGAGAGGGTCGGCAGATCATTGCCAGACTTAAGGTTCAATTTTGAGAAGCTCGCGGCAACCATATTTGAGGTTGAATTGCATCTCACCGTCTCACCTTTCGGTTGGTGGGTGGGAGCAGTCAGACGTTTGCATACTTCGAATAGTTTGCAGTCTCTCCATCGTTTTAGCCAGGCTGCCCAAACACTCCAGCCACTTGTCTTCGTCAACTTAGGGTCAGACATGACGTATCCCCCAAGAACATGCATGGCGGCACAGTGGCCATCCAGGATTCATACTGTGGATGGACGAGATCATGCACGAGCTCGCTGTCGGCTTTGAACTGGGATTCTTCCTTCAGTCCTGGCCAACTTGGTAAGGCTATGTGTATATATATATATGTAAAGCTCTCGTAAGAGGCTTACGACACGGGGTACCTGTCCGGGGCAAACCCAACATGTCCCTGACCCTGCTTGGATTGAAAGGAACCTTGTAAAACTACCCTCCCACCAACTGACTTGGAACCACCAGTCGTTGTTTTGGAGGAAAGTTGGTCAAACCAGGACCTCCCCCTCGTGCAGCGTGGGCGGGGGATATCATACGATCATACGAAGTGGCACCTTAGTTCGGTTGAGCTGAGTGGAAGAAGCCGTCCAAGACCCTTGCTCATTTGCCCTTTGGGACACCCAGCTTGACACCCAGCGCGCATCAGTGTCCATGTCGCCTTAGGCTGGGAGCATAATGGGGAGGACCACCTCGGCCCCCAGCCTCACCAGCCAAGCGCTCAGAGAGCTCGGGCGAAAGGGCGAATGAAAGAGCTCGGTGTTCTGAGCTGTTCAGGCAATCCTTCATTGCCTTGGGTTATGAAAGGAGCCCCTTTGATAGTGGTTCTCCGGTTGGGATTGTGCATTAGGATTGGCCAGCAAACCGCTCAGGCTTTTGTTGGGATGTGCTTTCTTGAATTAGTGGAAAATCTAGTTGCGGAATCCGTTCGCATGAGGATTCAGCAAGTCCGATTTGTTGTTTCGAGTTGGGCTCATGCATTCAGGCACCTCCAAGTGAGGCTTATTCTGGGGGAAGGCTATCGCCGTAATAGGGGGGGGCCTTCACATTTTCCCGAACGGATCCACAGAACTTAGGTCACGATGCGACGATGGCGCCCTTTCCCAACTGAAAGCGGCGATGCATGGCGATGCAGTTCGGCGCGACGAGATGCCAAAGGCGGGAGTTCTAGGCTCTGACACGGTGATGCCCCGGCCCCCATGAGAATTGATCCGGTAAAACAGCTCCCCCGCACCCACCGCACCCACCGCGGGGTGAATGAACGCCTGCCACGCAAGAAGAACTGACTGGTCCAAAGCACCGGAAAAAACGGTCCAGCTTTTCTTCGTCGGTGTCTTCTATCAGCTTGGCTCGTTGGAGGCTGCCCCCATTTGGCGGCGTGAATGCGCTCAAAGAAGGGCCGCACCCCCGAATATCTCACTGGAAGGTGCTCTTGGCCCCTGGCTCGGGAGAAACAGCTCTCTCTCTGACCTCCCGGGGTTTATTGGAGGGCAGGGGCCAACAAGGCCTGTGAATGATCCAAACGGCGGGCCGACAAATTGCAGTGAAGCCGACCAAGCGCAATGAAGCTCTACTCTCAGGGGATTCCCGGTGTCAAAGAAGGTGGTCACCAAAAGCCGCATGTCAAGAAACGGGGCAAGCTCCGGATCTCGCGAGGCACAAGAGCAGGGCACCCAGCTTTTGGGGGGGGGGGGGGGTTGGGAACCTTGGTTCCTAATTGAGATCAGGGGGGGTGGTTTTATTATCAAGTTTTTTGCGACCAACTGGGGCTCACGGCGTCGGCGATGACCCACACTGAACCAAAATACACCTAGTTTCTTTTGTTTCTCCCTTGAAAATTAGTTTTTGATTGGCTTCGCCACTGGAAGCTGTCGACCCCAAAAAGATAGTGCGTTCGCATCCTTGTCCTCCCACCCTTCGCTGTTTTTTTGGTGTGTTGAGTGCAAAAATGTTTATTAAATATGGGTCATGTACTTCGAGCCAAATGGAATTTATGTTTATCCAGCTCGGCCCCGTTTTTGATGGGGGGGCCTGCGTGAACCAGGAAGGAGCACAATACTGGCAAGCTGCTAGGAGCGTGCAAGTGAGCAGGGATGACCATGTTGCGTTGCCAGACTTAGCTTACCGTGTTCACCATCTTTGTTGTTTGTGTCCATCATGCCCCCCTTCAACTGGTGCAAGGTCAACTTTTTTTTTTTTCGGGGCTCCAAGCCTGACGCAGTTTTCAGCTCCAGATAGAGCTGGGTGAGACAAGACCCATGACCCAAAGGCGCTGCTGCTCCGTGAGAGTGGGCACGCGGGCACCGGCTTGCGGGGCTCAAGGGGATTGTTGGGCGAACTTCCCAGAAACCAAGCGCTAGAAATCACTCAGCCGCAGATAGGCTGTGTATTCCTCAAGGCGACGTGATGGGTATGATTTTTGTTTTTTGGCTTTGTTTTGCATTTTTTTGTCGGGCTCTGTTCATTTTGTGGCAAATGCATGGAGCTGCATTGGCGGCGGCCATTGCATCCACATGCTCCTCTTCAGGGGGTTCCCCCCAAAGGGGGGACATCTCCCGGATGGGCACTGCGGGTGCGTTTACTGGCCAAGCTTATGGCATTTGAGGTCTGTCCGAACCCGCCTACACTGGGATCTCCTTTACGCTTGAGTCTTTTTGGTCAGAAAATGTAGACCATGTTCGAACATATGGGGTTGGGGTGGTAAGGGCTGAGGTGGTTCAGGCTTATTGCAATGGTCCAAAGCCTTGTTAAGCCTTTGCATTCCTGATTTTCATCGTTACTTTCCTGGGCATGGGTTTTGGCAGACCTCATTTGGCCAGGGAAGCCGCCCGGAAACCCCCTCCGAAGACATCGAAGGCGTCGTCGATGTGTTTTCTTGCTGTGTGTCTTGGGTGTTGTTTTTTTTTTTTGCGGAGGGGGATGGGGGGCGCGATTTGCGGCACACGCGCGGGAAAAGATCGAAGTTACCACTGTCCACTTTTCTTTTGCTTGTCCTTGCCTAAGCTTGGGCATTTATGACATTTCGTTCAAGACCGGTTCATGGCTTCGACTGAGCTGGTGAGTTGGCTGCTTTGCTGAGTTGCCTGAAAGGGACACCCAAAGGAACATCTCCTTTCTTGGCGGTCCTCTTTTTCTTTTTGTGTGTGTCTTTTGTGAGGCTCGGAGCCTTTTTCATTCTTCTTATTTTTTGGTGGTTTACATGCAAAGCCGAGGCGCACACTGTGATTCAACAAGCCGCCGGTTGGACTCTTTAGCAGCACCGCGTCTATTTTGGAAAGGCAGGCATGTCTCGGCAGGTTTCTTCATATTCTTCTGGTCAGCGCCCCAATGCGAGACCGATGCGCAGGCCTTGCCATAGTCAATGCTCCAAATCTTGTAAGGTGTTGTTGAATCCTGGGTCAACAGTATGTGGTTGCGGTCAGGAAAATGAACGTTAACCCCCAAACACATCAAACTCAATTCAGAATGACCCGGATGAATGTACTTCATTCATCTCGAGGGACTTGTCACCACCCCTCCAACAGGGCTGTCTGGGGGTAGTGGGGGTGTTTCTGTCGTTGCTTGCTGTCTGGCTCCGAAGGCAAGCGCGGCAATGAGCGCTGGGCGCAGTTTTTCCTTTAATGCCTGCCTTCATCACCTGCACACTGCCCACTCAGGAAGGTGTCAACTGCTTGATTAATCCTTGCGTGCGTTGCTTTGCGGCATCTCGTCTTTTCCGCGATGGCGGAAGGGGAGGAGCTGAGCTATTCCAAATGGCTGTGTCTTGGCAAAAAGCGTGGGTACGGTTTGTGGAAAATGCGGTCTGAACCGCACTTTGCCAGAGGGGTTTCCCTTAACGTGGTTAGATTAGTCATTGGAGTTGCTCAAGTTGCTGGTTCAGAATGGGTATTGCCCAAGGCCGTGATCAGGTGCCTCTATATCTGGCCCAGGGCCGCTTCAAAGCACTCCGGAGCCTGTTCGGGGCAGAGGCCCCAATGTTTGCCAAAGCTTGCAGCTGTTGGGGAAACACCAGCCAAGAGAAAGGCCGTCAAATTATAACACTGGAAAAACCCACGGGTTTTTTTTCTGGAGAGAGGGGTCTCAAGTGGGGTCACTGTTTAATCCAAGGCGCAGGGCTTCAGGGCTGCAGGTACATTTTGCACTCGACCAACTGCATCTCTCTGGGGCCTAGCAAGGCTTTCCGTTTTTGCGCCTTTGGGAGTTCTGCGCATGTTTGGTGGGTGGGCTGCAAACAAGGTTGTTCGCTCACATGCCAGGGGTTGGAAGAATCACATGTAGCCGTTTTCTACAGCGCTTGTGCATGGAATGCATTTTGCCAGGCTCGGATTCCTGTTCCGCAAACAGAGTGATTTGTTTTGACCACAAAGCCAAACAAATTGGATATTGCCTATAGCTCTTGTTCGCATGAGTTGGCTCCATTTAGGCAAGGCAAGGCTGCCTCAGTTTCTTTGGCCTTGATGTAAAGGTCGAAGTGGGGGTTAACTCTGTCTCATGGCCAAGCTGTTGGTTTCTGCAGCGGCGCGCAGATCGGGTCGAATGAAAGCAACCATCCACCACACCTGAGAAGAGAACCACCCGATAGGAACGAGTCCGAGAGAAGATTGCACGTGGCGAAAGCCATGACCCGGGACCTGCTCGCCAGCTTGCGTCGGCGCCCCAGCAAGCCCTTGGCCACCTGGGTTTGGTTATACATGGGGGTTATGAAAGCCGCTGAAAGCCTCCGAAACGGGGTTTGACTGGCTTCAGCTTGACCTTATTGACACCCAAGCAAGGGTGCCGTTGGCACGAAGCGAATCAGGCGCCAACACATCCCGGCGTTGGTTCCAGTCTTGGGCTCACTTGCACAAACCGAATCGACTTTTTAGCCTGTCGGTGTCCACGTGTTGCCCTTTGTGTAGTCAAGCTTCCAAAAATTTCCAGGTTCTTTGGGCAAGTAAACTCGCTAGCGGGTCTGGTCTTGAGAACTAAATGTGAGGAAGGCAACAAGTGTTCAAATATGGCGCATCGCAACTTCTGGACAACTTGCTCCCCTTGAGAAATAGGGTGACGCACTTTGCCTTTTTTTGTTTGGTGTTCCCCACCAAAGAAATGTCAACCCCGACGGGCTTCAGAACCGGTTCGGCTTGCTTCCTTTGGTACTTTGCCCAGAATGACAGCGTCCCAGGCAAGAACAAGCTCGGAATTTGCCAAGAGGGGTTGGCAATGTCTAGCTCGGAGACAAGACTTTTCTTTCCAACCTAAGAACGCGCTCGATGTCCGGGGTTCCATGTCTAATATGGTCCTACCTGTTGACGTCACGGGGTGCAAAGTAGCTTTTCATTAAATTCTGTAGAGGACAGCAAAGGAGGATGGCTCGTCTCATCACGGCAAAAGCCGGCTCAGTTTTCTCATGTATGCATGTCTAAACATGTTTGGCCGGTGGCTGGCGACGTCTGCTACCCCACTTGTAAGACCCAAATGGCATTTGCCTCTAAAAGGGAGACCCCTCAAAACGGGTGGGGTTTCTTGTTGGTTTCCCTTGGGCACCAGCCCTGAAAAGCAGGTGGCGAGCCTCAAGAAAAGGCGCCCAAATCGTCGGAGATGAGGCGAGAACAAGCTCCAGGAGGCCCTGAACCCCGATGCAGGCCTTGACCAGGTCGTTCGAAGCTCGGCTTGGAGAACGAACCGCGGCCGGGCAAAACCAGCGACGGGTGGATTCGTTGGATGTCCCACATATTGCAAGTCCCACTCCCGGGCTCCTGTCTTTAGAGTCGCTTTTGGGGAAGACCAATTGAGCGGGAAACGGGAAGACTTCTCGGAATGTGAACAGCAGGGGGAAGGGGAACCCTGTGATCTGGGAAGACGCTTCATTTTGGAACGCGCTTAGCCTCAATTTGGAACACGCTCGTCTCGGGGCTGACGTCTTCGGCTCCATGTCTGCGCGGCTCCTGCGAGACCTCTCCTCCGTTCTGCCTCCTCATCGCTCTCTCTCATAAGCTGGTCATTGGAGCCATGTTCCTCAGGTTCACCAGACAAGACGCCAACAGCTCGGCAATGGCTGGCAGGTCTGGTGCGCCCAAGCCCACCACTTACGAAACTTCATGTGAGGCTTGGGCATGGCTCCAATGACCAGATCATGAGAGCGAATCAGAGGCCTTGCACAGGTCTCGCAGAGGTCTTGCAAAGGTCTAGCAGGAGCAACGCGGATGTCCAGAAGTGATGTGTGGCTTCCCTTTGCACCCGTGACACGAGAGCTTTCTGATCGATTCGACATGTGCGCGTGCGAAAAGAGATGGCCTCAACAAGATTCTCCACACACATTAGAAGACCCACAGATTCTCTCACTCACAAAGATTCACGTGAAGCGAAGAGGTCCTGCAGGAGCCACGCAGAGGTCCCACGGCTTCAACAATCAGCTCATGAGAGTGGCCCAAGGAGGCGGAACGGAGGGAAGGGGAGGGCTTCTTGCCGAGGTCTTGCGGAGGTCTCGCAGACATCTCGCAGATGTCCACCAGTCGTTCCTTTGGCGCCCGTAGACACCAACAGCTTGGCAATGGCTGGCATTTCTATTCGCCCCGAGCCTTACACGAAGCTTCGTGAGTGAAAAAATAGTGCCGCCTCAAATCTTTGTGGAGGATGTTGTTGAGTCCAGCTCTTCGCAACAGAAAAGTAACGCTCTTCTGGCACTGGCGGGCGAAACAAAACACAAATCATGTCTGGGACCTCTGCGCGGCTCCTGCGAGACCTCTGCAAGACCTGCGCGACCTCTTCAAGACCTCCCCTCATCATCGCTCTCTCTTATAAGCTGGTCATTGGAGCCATGCCCCTTCAGGTTCACCAGACAAGAAGCCAACAGCTCGGCGATGGCTGGCAGCTCTATGACCACTTGCGACTTCATGAGAGGCTTGGGCGGGCATGGCTCCAATGACCAGATCATGAGAGCGAGGCAGGGCCATTGCCAGCCAACGCTGAATGCAGCTTAAACCCCTAAATGGGCCCTAAACATCTGTAAGGCAACCCCACAGCCCCAAACCTCTCGCGGTGCTCTCGCGCAGGCTCCGGCCCGTGCCAACCAAGCCTAAACCAGCCCTGAGCACAGCCTAAATCAACCCTAAAAGATTAAGCCTAAACCCACCCTAAACCCACCTTAAACCAACAAGCCACTAACCGACCCTAAGCCAGCTACAAGTGAGCCGTAAGCATCAATGAGCCCCAAAGAGCCGAATCCAGCCCCAAAGAGCTCTCGCGGTGCTCTCGCGCAAGACCAGCCGCAACCCAACCCACTAAATGGGCCCTAAACATCTGTAAGCCAACCCTCAAACCAACCCCAAGCAGCTCTCGCGGTGCACACAAAAAGGTGGGTTTGTGTTCCAAAATGAGGCTAAATGTGTTCCAAAAATGAGGTGTCTCCCGTAATCTGGCACACTTTTGGTGGTTTTATGTTTTTTTGTTTTTTGTAAGACCTATGTAAACCTTACGTAATCACCATGGCTCACCATGATGGGTGCGTAGCTGACTTCGGATCCTAGGCTTAGCGCTATCCTCAGCCTTCAGGCTGAGCCTCTTAAAGATGACCAGCCCCGTGGGTTAAAAATGAGCTTGGTTTCCTTTGGCTCCCCTGCAACAGGAGCGAACTTCCTACCCTTGTTTCGTCTTTGGAGCAGCCCTGGTGTTCGCAATGTCTTGCGGGTCAGGCACCAAAAAGAAGAGAAGTGATCCGGACCTGCTAGTATGGGACCTTTTTTCCTTTTTTTGGGAGAGTTTCTATACCCTTAAAGGGTTCAGACAGAGGGTCTAGCAAGGCAACCGTGGAGCAACTCCAAACGGGTACCGCAAAGCCATGCGCTATGGAGAGGAATCCGTAGAGGAGCCTGCTTTGGGAAAGCCTTTTTATGGGTTGCATGTGATTTCCGGGAATGGGAATCCTCCGCTAAAAGCTCTTACGGAAAGCAACTATTTGCACCAGCATGTCCCTTGAGGAGAGCAGAAGCAGAAGAAGGAGAGGGTCTACACTCAGTGCAGGCAGCACCAGAATGTCATCGACGCGTCCTACTCCTGCACCTCCCTCAGGGGGGGGGGTGGCACGCTGCATGGCGAGGGGCAAACTAATTCTGCCAGGTACTTCCTCTTGGTTGTCTCGTTCGTCTTGTGGGTGTCCGGGTGGGAGCAGAACTGGCACTGGCACCCACAAATCTGCCTTTTCCTGACTCCTGGCTTTGCGAAAGCAAAGCTTCACCAGGGCAAATGCACGATACACTATTCCATCAAACTCGTAAACCCACAACAAGGAAGCCTGCTGACCAAGTCAAACGCAGTCGTGGTTCTTTGAGGCTCGGTACCCTGTTTAGGTTTGGTTGATAAGAGGGAACCCCCACCCATTTTGTTTGGAGGCACACTCGCATTTTGCATTCAGGGGTCCGTAACCCATGGATGACCCCCCATTTCTGGTGTCCGAATCCATTGATTTTAATACCTCAAACCTGTCCTTTGCCATCAGATCTCATGAGGCATTCAGGACCTGAAGCGCGCGGCCAAGCGCACGGTGGACTCCATCACCCAGCTCACCCACGAGAAGTGCCCCGGATAAATCCCCGCCCCCTTCCCAGTGTCCCCATGCGAAGCATTGGGTATGGCTCGTTGAAATGCTTGTGCCAATGAACATATTGCAAGGAAACAGGCAAGCTTCTAGTTGACTGTGCTTACCATGATTGTATATCACTGTGTATCGTTTGCAGGCTCGGCCCCTTTTTGGTTTGGCATACAGGCAAATCAAACCACTCTTGGGGTTCCTACACGCTTTCTTTCAGCCAGCAACACGTGACGCATCGTGACGCTTTTTGAGTCTGTGTCTTGCCAAGTGTTGCGGTCCTTTGGGCGAGTGAGTCGCAAACGCTACCCGGAAACCCGTGCCAAGAAGTCCCCCCAAAAGAATCCGTTGGGGTACTTTCCTTGCTTGGGTTCCTCCCCCCCCCTTGGAAGAAGCAATCCACCCGGGCCATCCCCTTGCGTAAAAATGCTTAAGTCACCAATGGTTTTAACATCATTCTCTTCGTGACCGTTTCGATGGGGGTCAGGGCTTGGTTGTTTAAACAAATGCTGCCCTTTCCCGAAGACCAGCCCAAGGCAGTGCTGACTACGGACACAAGGGGCTGAAAGCCCAATCCACCCAAAGTGTCCCAAGTCTCCGAAGCTAGGTGGTCGGAAGGGAGCCAAGCAGTCGGGGATATCTACGTTTTGCTTTTGAAGGGCGAGCTGAGGAGCTAACGAGTTCTGTAAGGACCCGGTAGGAAGCAGCCCCCCAGGTACAAGGGCACCGCCAACTTCCAGGTCTGCGAGCTGCGCCAAGAGCCCCTCGACTTGCTCGCTCGCAGTAGTCGGCGCGGGGGTTTGGTTCATTTGTCCGGTTGGTTCGGGTGCGCCGAGTTCCCCTTCCCTTTTGGTTCAGTTATCAGGTCATTTATTTTGCTGATTTTCCGATTGGTTCAGGGAGTGCTGGAACAACGCCCTTCTCGGAGATTGTTTACATCACATTGCAAGTGCATAGCCTCCGGGTCTCCAAGCGATAAACAAAGATGACCGAGAAGCAAGCCTACAGGTGCTCTCCCCCATCCCGAATAGCTTGGGATCGCACTCCAGGCCAGATTTCTGGAAGTGCGGAAGCTATGGAGTTAGAAGACTGTTGTTGGTCCATTGGTGAATGTGTTCCTTTGGTTGCCCTTACCCTTAGTTCGCGCGACCGTTTCCGCCTACCCAGAGCAGAGTTGTTTGGATCTGACCGGCGCAAGGCTCCGCGCCAAGCGGCCGCCCTCCGAGCTCTTCAAGGAGCCCAAAGATGACCTTGTTGTTCTATGGGTGTCTGAAAATCGGAATTTGGAGATCCAAAATGGTCCTTGTCTTGCTTTCCCTTTGACACCACCCTAAAATACCCAGGGCTGCCTTTTCTGGGGGGCATGACCCACCCTGAGATTCAATTCTATCCGGAAAGTAACCGGAGTGAAGGAGTAAAAAAATGGATGACCAATACCCAAGGCTGACATTGGTGAACAGCTTCCTTCGGTCTTCTTTCAACAACCCAACTTCCTTCAGGGAGCCCGGAGATAGGATTAAAGGCATGATTGAACCTAGACAGCTTTTAGCACCTCTTTTAGCACTTTCCAAGGGGAATTCCAAGGTGGGGCATCCAAAGCAACCCCCCAGACCTCCATTGAAAATGTGGGCGCCATAGACCCCCTTCTTCAGCAAGTGTTTCGAGAGTTGCGGAGTTGTTTTGAGGGTACCCTTTTCAGCTTGATTGACAACACACCCATCTCCGGCAGCCAATTGCGGTCCCGGCGAACCGCTGGGATCAGGACATCTTGGATGAGGCGCTGGAACAGGAGCGACAACTGCTGCTGAGTCAAAGGGTGCCGGCCCCAGACTCAAACCCCTCAGGCCCCTCAGGCCCCTCAGACGCGAGTGGAGGGGATGGGGGCATGTCACTCGAGGGGTGCGTATGGTTTTGGGGCTTCTAAAATAGGGAAGCCACTGATTTCGGGGCCCGTATCTACTCTTGAGACGAGGGGCTGTGAAGGCCAAAGGCTGAATGTGTGCTGGGGTACGGGCCAAGTACCCTTCCGCCTTTCAAACCCCCCAGGGGAACACAACAAGTATAGTGGTTCTTCTCCCGCGAAAGCATTATTAATTGCCTACCCTCCCGCACATGGAAGCCAAGGGTAGTGTTCCTCCAACTCAATATTGGAAACTTAGCGACTCAGCATTGCAGCGAAGAAGGAAGACCGATTCTCGAATTTCCGCAATTGGTTCTGTGGGGTATGGTATTGCGATCCCATCCCACTAAACCGACCACCCAAAATTCGTACTATCCTCTGATTCTGTTGGATATGGTTGGTTTAGTAGATCGGGGCATCCGAGGATTCACTCCTGGCGTTGGAGGCCGAGGGCACCTTGGCTACGTGACATATCCGGAGTCAATCCATTTGGAACAGGCACGAGCTCGAAATATCCCAGGCGGTTACGAGGGATTGTCATGGATTTTGCGACTAGTTGCTAGATAGTTGCGGCACAAGTCCCAGCAGGCATACATAAGGAGGTAGTGTGACTCAATGACATCTACAGTCATGAGCTTGTGTCGGTGTTGGTTGTTTGGTCAGTTTGACGTGCTTTTCCAAATCAGGCGAGCCGTTGAACGGGTTCTAATGATCACTGCCTGATGTAATCTGGGTTTTCGGAGGCGGGGGCTCAAACTGCTTGAATCGGGGACCCCTGTCCTTGGCGCACCCCCCACCCAACACGAGCATGTTCCTGTTTGCAGCTGGGGAATCTTTCTCATTAGACGTGGTCCAAGTTAGGGTCTTAATGACTTTCTGGATGTTGGTCTAAGGTTGCTATTCTCAATATCTTGGCAACTCCTGGGTCGTACATGTCGTCGTTGGGGTGGCTAGCTTTCGTTGCCCCGCCTCTCTAGTTCGACCCCATTCAACGAAAGGACAAACACGCTGAGTGCCCCAGTGGTAAGACACACCTCAGGAAAGGCCATCATCGATGAAATCGAGGAGAAGCAAATCCTGCTTACCCGAAATTCGGGGGAGCGGCGGGTGAACATGCATCACGACATCAGCTGCCCAGCCGCAAGTTCCCACCTGAGGGTGTACATTTTATCTTTTGGGGTGGTGACGTTGAAAGTTTGTCAGCCAGCCAGCCAATCAGTCAGTCGGTCGTTCAGTCACTGGTCGGTCCTGATTTGACCGAATGTTGCCTGAAGCGAGTCTTCAGCAATCGAAGGCTCCTTGAACCAGAAGGTGTCCATGCAAATCAAGCAGCCGGAGGAGGCGGCAACGCCCAAGTCCAAGCTGAGAGAGGCCTTGGTTTCTGCGTGGAGGGGGGGGTGTTCCGCAGCACGCGTATTACGACATTATGCAATTAAGCGGCAGCTGCAGCACCAGGCTTCCTTCACAGAACCCCAGCCCACAATCCTATCCCTTGTTTGCCCCAGAGGCGCTTGTGCCTTATCAAAGCGCCCAATTTGGTAGACACCACAGGGGGTGTAGGGGATGGGGTGGGCTGAGTGGGTCCCGGCTGGTGCTTTCCAAATTCAGGGACCCCTTGACATTGCCCGTTCCCCGCTCAAATGACATATGTGTGTTTTAAAATCGAGACCTCACCCATCAAGGCTGGTATTCTTTTGGTGTCCCTTTACTATAACACAAAAAAGGCAAGGCCATACACACATATCGCTTATGGTTCAAGTTGTTTGGACCTGCAAAACTGGTAGTTTCATTGGCAGCTTCACCTTGATCCCAACGCGCACGACAGCTTAACAATGTGGCATAAGACAAGTCCCCAATGGGAATTGTGTCGCGAACCAGCGTCAGCGATATCAAGCAGGGGTTGAACAAGTTTTGGACCTCCACCCTCACAAAAAGCTTGCTTTCTTGAACCATTTTTGAGGGGAGCATTCGCGGGTGGCTTGGCCGCAGCATTCAGTCACGGGGACCGTTCGGGAAACCTGAGGGCCGAATTCTATTTATGAAATTTGTACATTGTGCCCCAAATGCCCAACCCCCCCCCCTCCGGCCAAAGGTCGTTCAAAACTGCAATTTCCGAGTAAGGCATTTTAGCAGCAGACATTTGAGTCATTGTTGCTATTGCTCGCTGATTTGAAACTGGTGTATATATTTTTTTTAAAAAAAAAAATGTTGGCTCTAAAAACGCTCCCTAATAAGAGTGCTGGTTTAGAATTTGGCCGATTGTCATTCAGTTGTGGGGATTTGGGGTCTGGGGAGAACGTCTGCATTATTCTGGTGTCATAGGAAAAAACGGGGGGATTATGCGATGCGTCAACCAGGGGGTAGCCCAAATGGCTTCTCGTTTCCCTTTGGCGCGAGGAGTCCAAGCAGACGCTGGAGGACACCTACAAGCTGCTGGCGAGGTACAACGAGCATCGTAGGAAGACCCAGGACCGGCGACCGGCGACCGGCGACCGGCCGGCAGTTTTGAATATAAACCACTGGTTGAATCGACCGGGTGGTTGAATCGCCCAGGTGCGAAGAGCCCTTCTGCTTCGCAAACATTTTGCTCCATGTGTCAAATGGTTTAACCTTTTGCTTCCAGGTCCTTTGGGCAGGTGAGTTAAGCCACCATTGTTTCAACAACCCCCCTTTAAAGGGACACGCTATTTGTTTTCTATTAATGGCCAACCTTGACTTCCCTTGCCAATTCATGAGTGATTCCAGCAATCCGGGGAAGCGAGCGATTTCACCTACATGAGTCCTTTACCTCTGGAAGCAGGATCCGTGAGTTCGGAATGGTTTCCCTTAGGCGGAAGGCAGGAGAGGACAGGCCCGCTTACCCCCAGAACAGTTCTCAGAAACCTTTCATCCGAATCCCGGCTAAGGATCCAAGCTCGAACCTTTGGGCGGGGGAGCTGGGTTTCCTCCCCAATTTGGTGGGTGCAAAATTGTAGGTTGGGCTCTTCAAAGAGGGGGGAGGTTTGTGACCCAACAGATCAACGGGCAACCTCAAACCTAAACGCATGTAGTTTAGCTTCGGTGGGATCCCTAAAAGTTGCAAGTCAACCAATCACATCTCACGCAACTGCGAATCACAGGGTGTTCCCGGCTTGCCTTCTTGCAACATGGGCATCCGCCATTCCGAAAGGGAAGCCAGCAGGGACCTTGTTCGCATCTTGGTACCTTTCCCTTAAAGGAAGCCAGGGGAGGAGCTGCTCTGATTTTCCTTACCTAACGCCCAGAAACCATGTCTTCTGTAGTTCCCACGGAGGAAGTCACGCGGGATTTGTGCCTTCAGACCTTGCGGTTACAAGTGTTGAACACCTCCATGTGCGAACCAAGAAAAATGCTAGATAGCCCCAAACGAAACCAACAGAGAATTGGTTTCCGCACTCTTTCTTTTGGCGCCCAGCTGTGACGAACATGCAATCACCTAGCATTTGCTCTTAAGTGGCGATGCCGAATATAAGTATGATGGCCTTGTGCTGTAGAGGTGGCAGGTCAGGCAGGCACCCACTAAAAAAAGCAACAACAACTTTGGGGAAACACGTTGAAGCCATTGATTGAACGAAAAGCCGTTGCGAGGTAGTTGTAGCAACGCGAAGTCTGCCCACATGGTTTTGCTGGGGATCCGGTCGAAATTTGGGCCGGCCACAATTGCACGGTGATTTTGAAGATGGAAAGAACGTGGCATCTGTTTGCAGTTGTGGCCGGCTCATTTGCCCAAGTCCTGTATCCATTGCAAACGCATTGTGCGCATGGAGCAAAAACGTCAAGCTTGCAACTGGGCGATGAGCCCCGATCTTGCCCCCAAAAGGCGAAATTCAAGTACAGGCCGTCAGATCGAAAAAATAGGGTGACATTTAGCCGTAGCCAAGTACAGCAGGTCTACAATTGGCCGCCCTTTGAATAATTGGTGGCAACACAGCCAGGCTGCCCTGGAAAGAAGCGTCAGACTGTGCTTTAGTCAAGTTTAGCGCGCCCCGTCGGCAACCAACCCTACAAGCCGCACTGCCGCGTTCCTCCAAAAAGCAGAATTGGTGTGTTGACCTTTGCAATCCAAAAAGCAGAGGCAACCCAGACAAGTTTGTTTGGTTGTTTGAGCTGCGTTGTCAACTGTTTGCGTTGGAACCCAAGTTTTGACTCTGCCCATGTTAGGCAAACCTTTACATGACATATAGTTTCAAAAGACACCGCCGAAAAATCCTTTCTTGTTTGCAAGTTGTTCATCAAATTCCCCCATGCCCCATGTTTTCAACATCCAGGTACCTTACGCAGCAACTCTGGAAAGCAGACGTGCCAGAACCTTTGCTTGGGTTGTCTTAGTCAAAGAGGGACCAAGTTTGGGCGACAAGCCAAAAGCTTGTGTGAGGCAGGAATGTCACGTTGGGGCGACAAACTAGTTTGATGCACAGTTTTTGGTCGGGTTGTTCGAGGGCTTGGGCTCTGGCAGAATTGGCATCCGTCAGGAGTCCGTAGAGGAGTTTCGCGCTCGCAGAGCCGCCCGGTTGGACTCTGCGGCTGGGCGGGCCTTTCCTTCTTGTTTATTCGGTTTTGATTTATTCCATGTAACTGGGGATTCAGGCAATGGGTTGAAGAGTGTTCAGTGTTCCCTTCATGTTGAAGCCTTTGAGGCCCTTGTAATTTGTTTTCACCATTTTGTCCAAGCCACATATGTACATCGCCAGCCTCAAAACAACGACTGCACCACAATAATATTGATATTGGGTCCTTTTGCTTTCCTGGTCCAGGGGCCAACTTTCTATCCTTCAACGGTTTTGGGAGCGATGATTTATAACCCGAGTTGCCCAGATACAAGCCCAAATTGACCTTGCTGTGTGTCTGTGTGTGCGGTGTAATTTAATAGGCAGGTACGGGTACTCAGCAAATAACAAGGTCCTACCTCCTTAGAGGTGCGCTCATTTTTGTTCATGCTTGCTGGTATGCATGGCACCCTGCGTGGTCCACTCAGGCTTCTGCCGCTATGTCCACATGAAACCTTGTTATGCTGCACGCGCGTTTGTGCAATGTTCTATACTTGTTTTTCATTCTTTCTAGAGATCCTTCTTTCGGAAGAATTCGGATGGTGTTCCAGAATAACGATGGCTTAAAAGAAGCGGGGACCAACTGTTGGAACACTGAGTCATTGTGTCAGAGTGGCCACGGACAAGGTCATGCATTGCAGAATGAACGAAAGCGTTGCCGCAATCTTTTGCGCCTGGCAGGGAGCGGTCGGATTCGGAAGGCTTGTTTGCAAATACCTTCTGTTTGCACATACCTTCCCCAAGGGCCCCGGGCGGCCTGCTCTATATGACCATATTGTATGCCCCCTCGCCAAATCAAAAGCACTCAGGCGCTAGGCAAAGCAGAAAAAAGACGAAACTTGGCCCACATTTGCGATACACATACATAATATTTTCAGATGTTGCAAATAGTTTTGGAGGAGATCCCAGAAGCAGGGTCGACACTTGCGGAAGGGCCAGGACAGTGGTCTAAACACAGTGCAAGGATTGAGACGAGACTTCCCTTTGCATGGCTCAGCCTAGCACAGCAAACCCCCCCCTTTGAGTGCGCTGATTTCGGAATCCTGGTCAATTCACAGTCCTGATGCACGAGGTAACCCCGCAAACAAATCCTTCAAAACCTGGATGATTGAAGCAGAACTTGCGGCAGCTTTTGCCCCAAGACGCAAAACAAACTTAGTTCTCGCTCATATGGCTAGCTTGTGACAAAAGCGGCCAGTTCCAAGCCATATTCTCGCAACCCCAAAACTACTTTTGGGGCTTTGTTTACGCCATGTGCCGCCAAGGAGAATGCGCTGCGCCCCAGGGGGACGCACGAGCCGCGAACACTCGCGGAAGGGTCGTCATTCAGCAGGGCTCCTCAAAGATACAGTTTGTCCACTTAGGAACCACCGTTTTGGGTGCAATTTTCAGGTGGATGGTGTAAGAGCCCCTGTTCAGGATCTTGCAATCTCTTTGTTAGTAGCAGGGGCGCCGTTTACCCCACCCCAGGTGCCATTTTGTATTTTGCCATCACCATGTGACAGGGGCAGGCATGGGTTTTGTTGGTGTGAATGCTTGTATGCTACCAATATGAGCTACCCAGACCTGAAAACACCCTTGAGAAAGGGCACCCTTTAAGGGCAGTGACGCTCACAAATCCCAAGGGTTCCTCCCAGTTTGCCCATCGTATGGGTTTTTCTTGTTTGCCTGGCGCCTGGGGAATCTCTAGGCTCCATCCCAATTTCGACCAGGTGCCGTCTCTTTGCTTGTCATGGAATCCAAATAGTCGGAAAACGGTGACTCCACCTGGCACGGATCCGATCCCATCGATCCCCGAACTGATCCTAACCCCCAACTTTGGATCTGATGAGTTCCTTCGTTGCTCCCCCTGAAGCTAACATGGAACCCCAAAAGGCCTTCCCCAGAAGTGGGTTGCCCATGCCCCCTTCACTTAGGCGAAGGCCAGAACGGAGGCGAACTTGACCAAGCGCGTGCAGCAGCTTTCCGAAAGGACAATTTTGGGGGCTCCGCCTTGACAATTTTGGCCGCGTGAATGCTCGGGCTGGATTTCAGCTGGCCAGGGTTCCTTAAAGGCTTCTTTCAAAAGCTTCCGGAGCCGGGGGGTCCCATGCTAACCTCCCCGGAGTTGGAGAGATTTGCCGCAAATGAGAAGGCTCCCTAGACCGGAAAAAAGTGGCCGAGCACAAACAAATTCATGTCCAGAAGCAAGACCATAACAATACCTTGTTGGGGAAACAGGAGGGGGAGTTATCAGAGGTTGGAATTGTTTAATAGAAGATGGCTCATGTGTTCCTTTTTTTGGTCGGCCTAGTTTGATATTACTCGATGGTTAGAAGGTTGGAGGACGGGGGCTGCCTTCTCACTTGGCTTCTACACATCTTGCAAACCCAATCCAAACACCCATCCCACAAAGGACATCTCCCATAAGATGAGCAGAGAGGGAAGTGGAAGGTGTCCTTACCCCGCTCCCCCTGAAGGCAACTTGTATTTAACTACCCGAAGGGATCCAGAAACCGGCCTTTGCGTGACTTGGAGCCGAATCGCTACGGCTCCTTTGATAAGCCGGACTTCCCACAAACATGGCAGGTGAGTTTTTTGTACCTGATCTTTCTCAAGTTTTTGGGGCCAGGTGCCATGCCACTATCGGGCACTTCAGGCCCCCTATCCTCCACTCAGAGCTCTTCCAGCCCACCTAACGAGTTTCTAAGCAGCTGGGTTGCGGGCGTACCAAACAGGCTCCTTGGGCCCTTCACAAAGTGACAACTTGAAGCCCAGATCTAATGACAGACCTATTGGGTTCGGGTTGGCCGACTCCGATATTTTCCTGGTAGGAAGCTCGAGCTCGACACGCAGCTCCGGGATCTGATCACCTCCATCACCAAGGCTATGATGCCGCGATTCGGGGGCAATAGGGGCGCTAGCAACGCACAACAAGAGGCCGTTTAATTTGGGGCTCATCGGGTTCCTGTTTGTTGTGTTTTTGTTTGGGGGGTGGAGGCAAATAGGGATCTTTTCAGGCTCTCCGTTGGGTCCGGAGTCCAATGCCTTTTTCAGCTACAACGGGTTGCACCCCAGTATTCCTGGTGTCCCACTACTCGGGTCGGACCCCCATAAGAGCCGCGGATCGTTTTGTGTGTAGGCCACTCTCTTCTTGATAAAGAGGGCCTGTGCGCCCAGAACGAGCTTCCCTTCTACGGTAGGCTAAGTATGAAGCAGAATCTGAACATCTCTCACTTTTGGTGTGCCAAGGTTTGTCTGTCCACAGAAAAGCCGCGACTTTTCCGAGTTTCCTCCGCTGAGCGCTGGGCCTTGCTCCACGTCAGGCGGAGCGGGAGTTGGAAAGTTCCTTCCGGAAGCTGTCGCCCAACGACGCGGCCAAGAAGGCCAGAGAGAGCGTCCCCGACGACTTCGTCGGGCCCAAACCATATGGAACCTGAGCAGGGATTTCCCCGCTTAGGGAAATGACCTTCCAGAAAGCCCCGTGCAGGTTCTAGATTTGTTTTCGGGAGCCAAGCTGCTAAGGTGATTGCCTTGCTGAACTTCATGAGTGAAGCTGTTTGTGGCCCGGGACAACCCGCTTGGTTGTCTTGATGGCTCAAACCAGCAACATGTTCACGTTCGCAGGATGAAACACAGACGGCAATCATTTCAAGACTCATTTGTTTGGCTTGTTAGGTTTCAACATGGGTGCCACTGAGGCCTACCGTATTGCAACAAGCTCAGATTAGTGTGTTTTGCCTTGCTCCGTTTGGCGCCAGTCTGAGACTGACTTGGATAGTTCAGCACATTCTGCAACGAGCTCACCTGTAGGGTCCCTTCTTTTCCTTTGCAACCTGGCCATGGGTTTCCAAAATATTGGTGCCAAAGCGGGGCAGGCAGGCTATGGCGGCAATTGGCACCACAGACTTTCTGGAAATACATGGTTGTGCAGAATATGGTATTTGGTCCACCTTCCTGTGATACTCTTCGGGAATTCAGTTCCTCAGCGATAAAGTACCTCAGCGATAAAGTAGCCATGGGCCATTTCGGTATCACGAGGGTGGTCTCCAAACATTGCAGTTCCTTGGGCAAAAAATCGGATTTCTTTGTGGCAGTGACGAAACATCGGGAAGGACAAACATCCCACAAGTGGGGCAAGGGGCGCGCCACCCCCCGGACACTCCCCCGAGAACGCACCCGCTATCACCCGCTAGTGAGCCAGGAGAAGTTGGAGTCGGACAAGGATCTCTTGGAGCGGCTGCGGCGCCTGAAAGACCAGGTGGCAGAGGAGCCCCAAACCACGCGCATGGTCCCCAAAAGGGTTTATTTGAGCCCGCTGAAAGGGCCTCCATCACCACTGGAAGGTTTTGGACCTCTAAAACGGCCTGTTTAAAGTCCCGCGATTCTTAGGGCAGCCGCAAGATCACTCGTGAAAGCTGACTTGGATCCGCAAAGCAGGTGGTTTGGGGATGTATCCGGGATGTATCCTTGAAGGAACCCTGCGGTTCTGGGGAAAGTGCAGTGGGAGGTTCCGGTCAAACGTTAGGTCAAATTGGTGGAAAGACCCTTAAGACCCTTGCAGCAGTGGAGGGTTAGACCATTCATCAATTTACTGTGATTGCCAAAAGCCCCCTGTTGTGCCTCCATGGCATAGTTTCTCTTGGATATGCCTTTCCAATTGTAGTCGTTCATGATGCCCACTTGGGGGGCGCAAAAGCTTGATGACAGACAGACATGACAGACAGACAGACAGACAGACAGACAGACAGACAGACAGACAGACAGACAGACAGACAGACAGACAGACAGACAGACAGACAGACAGACAGACAGACAGACAGACAGACAGACAGACAGACAGACAGACAGACAGACAGACAGACAGACAGACAGACAGACAGACAGACAGACAGACAGACAGACAGACAGACAGACAGACAGACAGACAGACAGACAGACAGACAGACAGACAGACAGACAGACAGACAGACAGACAGACAGACAGAGAGAGAGAGAGAGAGACAGACAGAGACACAGACAGACAGACAGACAGACAGACAGGCAGACAGACAGACAGACAGACAGACAGACAGACAGACAGACAGACAGACAGACAGACAGAGAAAGAGAGAGAGAGAGAGAGAGAGAAAGAGAAAGATAAAGAGAAAGAGAAAGAGAAAGAGAAAGAGAAAGAGACAGAGACAGAGACAGAGACAGAGACAGAGACAGACATACAGACCACCCGTAGACCAACAGACCAACAGAGAGAGACATACAGGGACAGAGAGGCAGAGAGACTCAGACAGAGAGACAGAGGGACAGAGGGACAGAGCGACAGAGAGACAGAGAGACAGAGGGACAGAGGGACACAGAGACAGAGACAGAGAGACAGACAGAGCGAGAGAGAGCGAGAGCGAGAGACACACAGAGACAGACAAGAGCAGACAGACGGACAGACGAACAGGCTGACCGACAGACCGACAGAGACAGAGACAGAGACAGACAGAAAGACAGACAGACAGTCTGAGAGACGGTCCTGTTCCACAAAAGCCGTGACGCCCGCCGGTGGTGCAGAACATGTGTTGCTCTTCAATTTGCAGGGCCTTCAGTGTGGATCCAGACATTACCTTTTAGTCCCTGTCAAAATGAGTTCCTTTGGACCAGTGATGTGTAAAGAAGAAATACTAGGGACCTCCTGAGGCAAGTTGATTCCCAATTTTGCAGCCAGACGCATTTGGGCCAAAACCACGAGGACACTCGGCACAAATCGGCTGCATTGGAGATTGACAACACCTGCAAGCGCCGCTTGTCTTTTCAGCTGCTGCTCAATGGGATGTGCATCTTCCAGACTGGTCTTGGTTGTTTGCAGCGGGCGAGCTTTTCACTTCAGCATGTTCTATGCATTGACCCCATGCTTCGATCAAGCTAGCGAGAGCATGCTAAGCGAAAGACACCCCCGAAAAAATGCGCCTCATGCGAAACCATGGAATGACACTTTTTTTATGGGCCCACCTGAATTTTATTGATTTCTGACGGCACGCCATATGTTGTGCGAATATTAGGAGCATATCAGGTTAGAGTTTTGGATCTCTGTTTGGCCCTTCTGGATATTTGCACTACTTGGTCACCTCGTTTGATTACAAACAGGGTTGTAGACATCACAAGTGGGCTTTGCTGGGCTCTATTCACAAGCAATCAAAGGAGGCCAAGTAGACCACATAAATTGATGCCGATTTCTCGGGTATAATCCCGAAGTGTGGAGCCATGCAAGGGCACCATTGTCAGCCATGATGAGCATATAAGCCTCATACAAGAGGTGCAACGTGCCAAGTGTTCCCTATGGCGAATATCCAGGCATTTCCCAGAAATGAGCTTTGCACGCATGGGCCGCACGAGGTGTGAATGCCGCGAAGGCTGGAGAGGCGAAGCTGAAGAAGGACCCCTGCGGGGTGCTGCAATCTCAGGGAAGACCAAACCCTGTGTGCTATGCTGCTAATGTTGACTCGGGATTATGAATTCCCTTGGTTGATTGTCCCCTTTTAGTTGTGGTTGGAAGGCACAGGGTAATTCGCGGTCAACATGATTTCCTAACAACAACTCAAAGGGCTTAGGGGCTTGTTAGGTTGCTTTGGGTGTCTTTTTGGCGGGTCTTTTTTGGCGGGCCCTTGACAGCCAAGAGAATTGGGTTTGATTCTCCTTAACCGAAAATGTGGGAAGATGCGTGTTTTCCCCTCTCGAAAGCAAACAAAAATGAACTGTTTGCCTTTGGGGACATGGCCCACACAGTTTGGGTGGAAAGAATGTGAACGGGTGTGTCCATGTAATGCAATCTATTCTCCGTGTGGGGAAAACCCATATAGGATCCTCTCTGCCTGTTTTATAACTTTCTTTCGGTTGGAACCACAATTGAGAGCCATAAATTTTCAGGATGGGACTTCAAAGGGCCCAATAGAAACTTGCCCAACTGTCCTGCCCATTGTTCAACGTTCCGATCCGGATTTCGGAGCAAGGAGATGCCACCGGTGCGGTCGCGGAGCTGCGTGAATTTCAGGCCGGCATGCGCTTCGGATGCGACTTTAAACAGCCCTGAAAGCTCGCTTGCTGCCAAGAAAAAAACCCTCCACTCGGATAATCCACCTCAGGATTTTGTCCATCACCATGTCGCAATCTGACCCGAAAGAAGGGTTTTGTTTTGTTTCTTGGTTTGCCCTCTTTTGGGGATGTCTAATGTAGATGAACCAACTGCAGGTTGACCATCTGTCTTCAGAGCTTGGAGAGGATTCGGGGAGTGGGGTAAGTGAAACTGGTTGAGTATTCGAAAGCTTGGCTTTTCCATTGGGCTTACCCCTCAAATTGGACAGATGGATTGCCACGAGTGACCGAGTGACCGACTTGGACTCCAGGAGCAACGGCGACAAGGACCGGCCTGGGAGCTCCCCAGCGTCGCCGGGCGCATGCTCCCCGGGGGGGTCCAGGCAGGGCTAGGAACGTGACCCGCAGTTTCCAGGACGTCTCCAACAAGGGCGCCCTCATAAAACACGCGCAGCCATACCCATGACCCACCAAAACAAAATTCATGGCCCACCATGGCTGGTTTGTGGTGGTGTGACCGAGTCGCCCCTTCGATGGCCTCTGCATTTCACCTATCAAAGGTTCGCCCTTTACTCACGGGGAAGGGCAACCCAGCAACGAAAGGGTGCTACGTAAGATGCATAGGTGGCTGAGTTTGTTTGTTTGCAGTATTTGGGGCATCCAGTGTACCTCTGCGCAAGCACGCACATTTTTGTCTCAGTCTTGACTCAATTGTGCTTTGCAGCAGCTCACCCAGTTCCAATGGCCACCCTTCACCCCAAGCCTCTTAGGCAATAGCCTTGCAGTCCTCCTTGCCTTGGAGCCGAGCAAACGGAGGGGTTTCGGGGTCCCATCGGAGGTCTCTGAAAGCGGGCGCCGCAGTGGCTTTTCAATAGTTCCGTGCGCACGCGGCGGCTGCGGAAGCCGCGGCTCGCTTCCGGAAGCCATTGCGGGGATTTTGTGTTCATGTGGCTTCCTTTTTGGGCCATTCTCGTGCGAAACATGTTTCGTTCCGGGTACGGCAAATCCGGCATTCCTCTTTTTGGACTTGAGGCGAGATTTTGGCGAGCTTTTCGCTTGCTTTCCTAGGACACCAGCTGCTGAAATTTCTCGACCTATCCAAATCTTGGTATTCTTTGGAAGTTTAGGGACAATTACCACAATGTCCTGCATACTCTGGTATTTGCGAGTCAAGGTCTCGGTCGAATTTCCAGTAGCTGGTTTCCTGCGGCTGGGGAAGGCTTCTCACGCCACAGGCGTGGAGAGGTGTTGTGCCACCCTGAAGGGAGGCCGTTTATGGTTGCTTCCGCGCTGCCCAAGGCAGCCACAAAGACAGCAAGAAGCACCGGAGGTGTTCGAGGAGAAAAGCGCGAAGTCCAGGCAGACCCCCTGTGGCATTCCCTCCTGGGGCCCCAAGAGAGGTTTTGAGTTGTTTTTGTTGTTGTTGTTGGTTTCCCTTCAAAACCGCAAAAATGAGTACCCAACCCCAATGTTGCAACCCGCAAGCTTTATTTGCGAAACAATTGCCCCTGTCCCTGGTCAAACGAGCTCGCTAGGAGCTCCGGGTTCAACCTGTAATAACGTTGGCATATGACCCCGTGGCACCCTTTTGTGGAGCCCCAATAATTGATGCCAGGTTGTGAGTTGTGGTGTCCATTGCCCTCCCACTAACGTGGAATCAGAGGGTCCAGAAGCCAACCTTTAAGAGGTTGTATTCCTCCAGGACCTGCCGGTCAGGTTCCATGGGAACCAAGTTACAGCTCTTGTCTTCCCTCGGCTGTGGACGGGCGGGGCTGTATAGGAGAACAAGGTGGGGGGCTATGTGGAACCTCAGGTACGTTTCAGCCAAGGGAGGAATCTGGGGACCATGTAGAACCTCAAGTTATTTTGCCCAAATCTAAATCAAACATGGCCAGAGCCACTCACGCAGGGCACCTTGAACCGCGCCTCGAGGTTGATGGTGTCGGTCAAGAGCTGATCACGACGGACGTTGGTTTCGTCTGGGAGCCACTCATGGAGAACGTCGGTTGCGATCGCAAACCGCCTCCAGGCGGCGTCGGTCTCGATTTTGAGCAGCTTCCGGAGGCCGTCGGTTTCGACTTTGAGCAGACCCTGGAGGGCGTCAATCCTGTCTTTGAGCCACGCTGCGTTGGTCCGCGTCGCATGTTCTGCCATTTGCTCGGCATCTGTGCGCCGGCGCTTGCGCTGCGACTCCTCCTCCAATCGCCGCTCTTCCTCTTCTTGCGCCCACTGCTGGCTTGCAAGGTGCAGCCGGCGCATCTCGTCGGGCTCCTGGCGCTGGGCGTCGTACAGCCTTTTCTGGTTTGCGAACCAGCAGTCCCAGACAGCAACGTCGGCCTCCCACTTCTCAAGCAGGTCTCGCTGCGAAACCATACAGGCTTGCGGGCGCGCCAGAGAGGCCATGATCTCAAGATGAGAATAGAGGCAGCTGTGTAGGTGCAAGTTGTTTAAAACCTAAAATTTGGGAAGTAACGCAAAAGAACGAATGGGGAAGATCAAGCTGTTTCCTACGCCTGAATACACGAGCAAACAATCCTCGGACCCCGTGGTGCCCCTGGTACCATGCACGGGCATCTTTCTCGGCCCCAGCAAGTCCGGAAATCAGCCTGATTCTGGAGCAGTATCGGGGCGTGTTTGAGAGAATTTACATATTTAGTCCTTCCATTAACATCGACGACAGCTGGATTCCCGTCAAGAAGTACATCGAGGAGGACCTGGGGGTGAACGCCGAACGGGAGCAAGCCTACTGGGACGAGTGGGACGAGGCGGCGCTGCGGCGCATCATCCAGCAGCAGCGCAAGATCACCGAGGCGTCCAAGAAGTTGGAGATGAAGAAGCTGTACCAGGTCCTGATAATCTGTGACGATATGGCCAACATGCCGCAGCTCCACAAGGCCAACGGCGCCCTTGACACGCTCTTCATCCGAGGCCGTCACATGCAGATCAGCACCTGGGTGAGCTCGCAGAAGCTGAGGCTCATCAGCGCAGCCGTGCGGGTCAACATCCAATTCCTCTGCTGCTGGAGGCTGCGCAACCAGCACGAGCTGGGCGCCGTCGTCGAAGAGCTCAGCGCCCTGCTGCCGAAGGAGCAGCTGTACCAGTTGTACGAACAGGCGACCCGGGAGCCCTACAGCTTCCTTTCGTGTACTACCTGAAGTCGAAGAAGGAAATGTTCTACAAGCGCTTCGAAGAGCGCTTCGTAATTGAAAACGCCGATGGGAGCGGCGCTCAGCTTCCTGGGCCAGAAGCTGTTCGCCAGCTCCACGCTGAGCAACGCGAAGTGTGAGAACATCTCCTGCTGCACCTCCGTCGCAGCCGTCCAGCCGCCCATCGTCCGCCGGACGGGTGGCTTCCTAAAGAAAAGGATGACGACGATCTACGTGGACAGCCGCAAGACGACTTCGAGGTCGACCTGGGAGAGTCGCTGCACCTGCAGAGCGACGCCCGGCTGGCCGTCTACAAGATCCGCAGTTTCCTGTCCACGGACCGGGGCCGGTACCTGTACTGGGTCGACGCCGCGCTCGGCACGCTGAATTGGGCGCTGCTGCCTGAGGGCGCCTACACGGGCGCCCGGCTGGCCGCCTGGATCAGCTCCAACTTCGCTACTGCCACCTAGAGACCACGAACAGCATGCGCAGGGCGGGTGGAGGCTTCTGTGCCAGGCAGGGCAGGTGGCGCGGCAGGCACCAAGCCGCCGAACCCTCACAGTCCCCCGGATCCTTGCTGTACGTCCTATATGTGCTATCTGGCTCTTACAAGGCAAGCCGCCGAACCTCCACTCTTTTCCGGGTCCTTGCTGTACGTGCTATGTGCTACGTGGGTCTCACAAGGCAAGCCACAGAACCCTCACAGTCCCCCGGGTCCTTGCTATATACGTCCTATCTGTGCTATATGGGTCTCACAAGCAAGCCGCAGAACCCTCACAGTCTCCGGGCTCCTTGCTATACGAGTAGTAAGGAAAGAAGGCCTATAGTATCCAATTAATTTTGGTTTTTTGGTCCCAAAACCCTGCAAAACAGCCAAATTCTCCATCCAGCTGAACGTTTTTCCGATGTCACCGGTCTTCGTCACCGCTCCATTTTTGCTGCAAAAAGCGCTCAAAACGGCCAACTCCGAAAAGTTCGTTTTTTGTGTCAGACGGCAAGTGTGGTGCCTCAGCATCCAGATTCGCTCGTTTTCGGTCGAAATCAGGCTCCAGACGCTCGCTGTGCTCTGGATTCCGTTTTCAGCCCCGAAAAGCAGGCAAATTCCATCCCGCCGAGCTTGTCACCGTTCGTCGCCGCTTCGTCACCGCTCACTTTTGGGCCGAAAAAGTGCGCAAAAGCGGCCCAGTTCCCGAGTTCCGGAGGACTTCGTTCTTCGCAGGTTTTCCGTGGCACGACAGCCTGCCGAGGACCTTGCTCGTAACGCGGCAGCCTGCCGAGGTCCTGGCTTGTGACACGACAGCCTGCCGAACTTGTCACCGCCTTTGTCACCGCTCCGTTTTTGGTGCAAAAAGTGCTCAAACCGGCCAACTCCGAAAAGTTCGTTTTTTCGTGTCAGACGGCAAGGAGCCCCTAGTTTCGCTCGTTTTCGGTCGAAAGCAGGCTCCAGACGCTCACTTTGCTCTGGATTCCGTTTTCAGCCCGGAAAAGCAGGCAAATTCCATCCCGCCGAGCTTGTCACCGTTTGTCACCGCTTCGTCACCGGTCTCTTTTGGGCCGAAAAGTGCGCAAAAGCGGCCCAGTTCCCGAGTTCCAGGGGACTTCGTTCTTCGCAAGTTTGAGTCAATATTGGAACGGGTTGATTCATTAATGGGCAATGTTGGTTCATTAATGCCTGGTCGCAGGTGGGAATCAAGCCCCGGACCAGGGGTGGTGCAGAGACAGCGCTCTAACCACTGAGACAAGGGAGCTGCTAGCGCTTGAGCCAAGCTTTCGTACTTGGAAAAGCGAGGCCGGCTCCGCGGCTTCGGTCTGAAAGCGAGGCCGGCTCCGCGGCTTCGGTCTAAAAGTCCACCGAGGTCGGAATTCCGACTTCGCTCTCCCACCGAGGTCGGAATTCCGACTTCGCTCTCCCACCGAGGTCGGAATTCCGACTTCGCTCCAAGCTTCCGATTTTGCCCGAAAAAACCCTGGCGCGGGCCTGGTGCGGGCCTGGTGCGGGCCTGGTGCGGGCCACTGCCGCAGCGCCGAAGGTCTGTCAATCCTGCGCCGAGCACAGGATTGCTCCACTCAATCCTGCGCCGAGCACAGGATTGCTCCACTCAATCCTGCGCCGAGCACAGGATTGCTCCACCCATTCCTGCGCTGGCAACAGGATTGCCCCGATGCAGCGCCAGCAGCTCGGGCTTGGAACTAACTGTTCTTGCCCGAGCACAGGCTCATAATGGAGTCGGCCCCGCTGTAGAGCTCCCAGGCCTCAGGCACGTCGTTGATGCTCAGGACGAAGGGCAGGCCGCTCGCGAAGAGTGCGTCTCGGAGCTCCGAGTGGAAGGCCATGTCATGCCCCCGCCCCTTTGTGCCATAGTAGTTCATGCTTCGACCGGTCGGCATAGATGCACTGCCGGGGCGCCAGGCAGGGCAGAGCGCGCAGATAGGCCAGCGCGTCCTGATGCCGCACGGTCACCTTTGTCGGTGGCCGTTGCAGACGCCGCACGCTGCTCAGCGCCAGTGGCCGCTGCTGCGCGAAGGAGCCCCACTTTCCTGAGAAGCTGTTGCGCAGCAGGACGTATGAGCAGGCAGCCCGACGCCCGGCACGGCCTCTCTGAGCGCCCGGCAGGAGGTGCCTGAAGTAGAAGCGCCTGTCCACCTTGCGCCCCGCCAGGCGCAGCAAGGAGCGCAGGAAGACCGGGTCTTGCCTCAAGTAACAGCGGTGCAGGTTTGCGACGGGCTCGAAGGTGTCGACGCCGCGCACCTCCAGGCCCGGGCGCCGGGCGGCAAGGTAGTACTCCAGCTTTCCGGAACCGAAGAAGGGCGAGTGAAGCACAGTGACGTCCCCCAGCAGCCGGTCCAGGTGTGGTGCCAGCCACGCCTTGCTTCCCATGTACTTCAGTCGCATGCCTGCCTTTAGCTTTATCCCACAAAACTATGGGAGTGATGCGCTACTGGTGGCA